TGCCTTTTTGGTCCCCTATAGCTGACTGTTCTTTATAGCATGTACACATGCTATAAAGGAGAGAGTGTTTTCTCCTGATAGGTCTGTTGTTTCAGGCTCAGTTTTAATTTTCATAATGAAAATCTGAAAATATATACAAAAGAAGGGGAAAACACAACATTAATACCCATAATCATTACCCAACTTCAACAGTTTTTAATTTGTGGCCAACATTGTTTCGTGCATACTTTAGCACCCCCCTTCTGGATTATTTTAAAAGTCCTATTCTTCAAAAGATCTTAAATATTTCTGCATATTGCTAAGGGGAGCTCTGCTGGCTAACAGATCAGCAGGGGTGCTGTCAACCCAAAGGACATGGCTTGGAACCACCAGCTGTTCCTCAGGAGAAAGATAATCTTCCCGCATGATTTACTGCCTCTGAAAAACGCGCTAGTCTATAAACTGGTTTTTAAACTTTTTTCTATTATGACTTACAGTCAGAAGAGAATAAACAGATATGTCTTGGAGACTGTGCAGCTGGAGTGCTCTTTGGAGGCAGGAACGATGAGGCTTTGCCTCCTATACTTTGGGCATGTTGCTAGGAGGTGCTATTCCTTGGAGAAGGACATGATGCTGGGAATGGTGGAGGGTCGCTGAAGGAGAGGAAGACCCTCAATCAGGTGGACTGATATGGTGACTACTCAGTGGGCTCTTGTGTGTCAGAAGTGTGATGGAGCAAGATAGAACAGGGTTCAGATTTTTTTGTTCAAAGGGTCGCTATGAGTTGTGCTTGACTTGAGGGCACCTACCAACGACAACAATCAGAAACCTATTTCATAACAGTTCTAATTACATATAAGCAACTCTGGAGACATAGCAGTTTATGTGTTGAGCTGTCAACCAAAGGTCAGGGGTCTGAAAACACCAACCACCAGTACAGAAGAAAGAGGAGGCGGCCTCTCAGCTAAGATTGATGGCCTCAGAAACCAGATGGAGAGGTAATGAATGCTGGGACCAACTGGCCAGTAGTGGGGGTGGTTCTGGTTTTTTCCTAGTCATTAACATACAAAAACACGGAACGGAAAATTTATCCTTACAGAATATAAAATGAGAGTTGATATTTTCTGCTGTTTTGACTCACTAACCTGATTTCACAATTCACAAATAGGTCCTAATCTGTGCTTGATATGGGCTAAAGGACAAAGGGCTGCCCAGTTTCCCCACCATCCTATGGAAGTTACAAAAACACAAGGAAAGAAATATTTTTAGCACATGAACAGATTAAAAACAAGATAGGGGCAGAACAGAAAAGAGAAACACAACCAACTAGAAATATTCTTATTCATAGTGACTTTCATGTGCTAGTGAACTGCATTCCATGGTATTTGCAAGGCTGTTAACTTTTAGAAGCTGACCACCAAGAGTCACCAGGTGGGTTCTGACACCCAACTTTTTGGTTAGCCGTGAAGTGCTCACCAACTGGTGACTCTTAAGAACCGAGGTAAGTCTCTCAGTGGCCACTAAGGAGTTCTAAGACAACTGGGGGCACGTGAGCAGACCAAAACTTTGAAAATGCAAGTGTTTTCTGGTTTTGAGGCAAACAAATACACTCATCTTGTAGTACCAAGGCTAAATCACCTACTCCAAGGTCGAATATATAAAAACATTTTTTAAGTCAGACTTCTACATCTATTAATGAGTACAAGGGCTACAAGAGCAAAGAAAATGATTATAGCAAGGAATAAAATCTTATGTCAAGAGTGCAAACAAAAAACGCTCCTCAAAGTTTTAGCAATGAGAGTGGAACGCTGTCTTCTGACACCAGTTAAGTGAACTTAGCAAATGGAATTATAAAAATAGGCACCATATTGAAGACTTACTCAAAGTGCCAGGGACATTACTAGGGAGTTCACATTAGTAAAAAGATTTTTTTCCATGTTCTAAGAGAAGTTTTTTCCACCTCCCCTCAAGTCAGCCACTGATCCAGGGTACAAGAAGACAGGTCAGAAATGAGTTTTCCAATCTTTAAAAAAAAAAAAACCAAAACACAAAAAACTTCTTGAACTAAATGCCGGAGGAAAATGGGCACTCTCCTCCCATGCACTTTAAGCCTCTGCAAATCCACTGGTCGGTCAGCTACAGGTAAGTTCTGACTGCGTGGTACAGGACAAGAGCACAAGTCTCCTACCTGACACTCTGGACAGAATGAAGTGCTAAAAGCCCTCAGCAGGCCTTGTGCCTACCAGGCCGTCCAGCCCAAGCTCTGCCCTCTGCCTCAAACAAACTGTGCTGCTGCATATGCCTCTGTGGGCCAGCAAAGTGGCAGCGTTACTGGGCCTTTGATAGCCAGCACACAAATACTTCCACAGGGCTCAAATTAGTCCCCTCAGAGCACTCACCTACACTAGCTGTTCACCTGCCAATCTACACTGGGCAGGAACCATTCCTGTTTACTTCTGTCCACACCACTCCCCATCACACTGATCCAGGCTTGGCACGGACTAACTGCTCCACATTTGGCTGCCAACGAAGATCTCCTCTCATCCTAATCTCATCCTAAGGAGGGCTCCATCACACTCAATTCTAAACACATGTGATGAGAAAACCTTAAAGAGGGGAGTAGAAAGTACATACACACACACTTTCACACACACACAAAAAAAATGACAAGCCTGGAAACAGCGAACACCAGAGTCCTGGGGAACACACGCAAGGCCAATATGGACACACGTAGGGATTCCATTTCCCAAGGGGAGGGGGAGTTCACAGATGAGTGAGCAAGGAGGTAAGGCTGTACGGAAAGCCGTGCAGCCTCCGGGCAAAAGAAGGCGCAGGGCCATCGATCTTCCAAGAGCGAGGTCGCAGGCACTGAATGGATGGCTTTCCAAGCCCGGCCAGACACGCAGCGCCCTTGGTTGGGCTCCAAGACGGAGGTGTGCGGTGGTGGCCCGGGCGAGCGGGGCGGGAGGAGAGGAAATGACGAGCCAGGAGGGGGCTGGTCACGGCGGGCGGGGCGGTGGGCGCGCGAATGGGCCCCGCCGTCCACCCCGTCGGGGGGGACCCGGGCGCGCATCCCCTCGGACTCCCTCCCCCGACCCAGACCGACCAGACACACTCCGAAGGCTGGGGGAGGAGTGGCCGTCCCGAAGGCCGGAGCGTGGAGAATGCAAAGTTTTAAGGCTGGAACCACTGGGACATAAAACCGCCGAGGCCCGGGGGGCTCGTGTGTACCTGAGCGTAGGGACATTCATGACGGGCAAGGCCAGCTCTAGGTCTGCGACATGAGAACTTGGTGTAAAGGTCGGGGGACAAGGGACGCCTCCTCGACCGGCAACGGCACCCTGCGAGGGTCGGGACCCCGAGCTACCAGCTCCTGGCGGCGCCATTCCCGCACAGGGTAGCTCCCTGCAGGCTTTAGGAGGCTGTGACCCGAGGCCCCGGCCGGTTCCAGGCCGGCAAAGACAGTCCCCTGGCTCGGGTAGGCTCAGCTCCACTCCCGGGCTCGACGGACCCCTGGGCCTCTCCTGAGTGGTCAGCGAGACCCGCCAATCGGGGCGCTGGGGCCGTCTCTGGGCCGCTGGATATTGGCTCCTCATACTCACCGTGCCTCGCTCCCCCGGTCCGCTGCCCGCGCTGATTGGCTCCAGTACCGGACTCCGACGCCCAATCAGAGGCTCCAGCCGCCGCTCCCGCCGCCACGGCCGCTAACTCGCAAAATGGCGAACCTGAACAAAGAGGAATCGGGCCTCCCTCCAACCGTCTCTGCGCAGGCGCCACTAAAGCCACGCCCCCACTGACAATTCTGGGCTCGTCCCACCCACCCTTGAAAGAACATTGCGCAGGCGTCCTAGAAGCCACGCCCCGTCTCCTGATTTGCCACCACCCACAGCCAGAAGTGTATACTCTCCTCTTCACGACGCATCAGACCCTTCAACTCAGTCACCTCCTAGATCCTAGTATCACGCAGGCGCTAACTAAGCCCTTTCGCAACTACCCACCCCCGACTCGGCTACCAGTGGAGACACTTCCCCGATGCTAATGCGCAAGTGCCGCTCTTCCTAACTCGCCGTCCGCTGTGTCGTCACGCATGCCGGGGCGACGGCGGGAGATTGCACGGAATTTACCGCCGGAAGTTCGGCGGCCATCACCAAAGAGTGTGGGCTCAGCTAGCTAGGTAGAGGGGTTCATTTCCGCCCCGCTACCGAGTGGTGGGCGGCCATCTTAGGTGCGTACGAACAGGGATGCAGCGGGATTGGTTCCGCCTCTGGGCTCGTCCGGGCTCCCCACCTACCAGCGCAGGATGCGGATCCCTTCCTCGCGGGGCGGGGGCCTCCTAGGTGACAACTCTTTTCCACGTGAAGGGAGACCCTGGTAATACTGGGACTTTTGAGCCGCTTCCCCAATTGCAAACGGAACCCCAGGAGAGAACCTACACGCACGTTGATCAGCCCTATGGAATCAGTAAAGGGAGGCTTCTCCAGTTTGTCCACCCCCCACCCCCCCCAGTAAAAGGGAGTGACCCTTGCGAAGCCGCCTTTCCTTTTAACCCTGCCCATCACTCACACTCCCCTGTCCCTTCCCCGATGCTGCTTATTGAGACTGTCGCCAGGTCCCTCCTTTCTCCATCTAGGGCCGACCCACTTGGGAAAGTCCTTTAGCGCCAAGCAGAGAAAAGGGGACTGATTTATGCCGCCCTCTGTCCACAGTGGGTGGAGAAAGGAGGAGGCGGATCTGGGGACCGCCTTTGCTCGCTTCGCGGTCCTGCAGAAGCGCGAAAAGAGGAGCGATTCATGCTGCTGCTGAATGATGTCTTCCCTCCTCACTCTCACCTCCCAGCGGAGTTTTTTGTTTTACTTCTCATGGGCTGAACTCCCTTTTGGAAAAACTCTACCCTTGAGGGGGAAAGTTGGGTGGTGAGAGCAATCAGCACATTATTTCAGACTGTCTAAGCATACTTATTTCCTTTTCCCTTCTCGTAGCTGAAGACAACACGTAGGCTCTGGAACTAGCGACGTAGTACCATGGCTGGCAGCCCTAATGAAGATACGGAAGGAAGCAGAGTGCGTAAAAACTTACTGGTGAACGGAAAGAATCCTGGAGTGAGCTCAAAAGCGCAAACCCTTTCTAATTAAACCAATAACTGAATTTTCTCACTCTCTTTTCACTGGTTAACTTCGAAAAGGATAATGCAATCCTTGTCAGGGAGTATCCACCCCATTTTCCTTTTGCGAATGCTTTCATTTGTTTGAGGGAGCCCTGCTGTTTGTTCTTAATGAGCTCTTTAAAATGTGACTGTTCGAATCAGTCCTTCCCTCCATGGGAGAAAGATAGGTAGTCTCCACAGGTAAAGAATTAAAGGCCAGGAAACCTGATGATGGGCCGCTGAGTTGGAATTGACTCCGGCTGGCTGTGGGTTGGTTTTATTTGATGCCTTAATTTCTAAAACTTTAGCTTTAAGATAAATGGGTGGGGGTGGGGGGAGAAAGAAAAGAAAAAGAAACAGCTGTAGTATGGGGTTTTTCTTTTCCCCCCATTCTCTAATAAAACATTTTCTTTCACACATTTTAGATCAAATATGTAAAAGGAGACCTTTTTGCATGCCCCAAAACAGACTCTCTAGCCCACTGCATAAGTGAGGATTGCCGAATGGGTGCTGGGATAGCAGTCCTTTTCAAGAAGAAGTTTGGAGGGGTGCAAGAGCTGATAAGTCAACGTGAGTTTTGAAACCAAACCATGTCACTTATTTAATAAGATACGAATGCCAAAGGAGGGGATCCTATCATAGAGGATCTTTTATCCTAGGACTTTTTAAACTAGCTCTGGCAGGCTTAGTCATGGCTGTGAACTGGTTTGAACAGGTTTATTCATGGCCATTACAGTGAAATCAGAATCAGCCTGGATTTGAAAAATGTGAGAATTGATGCCTTTGAGCTGTGGTGCTGGAGAATATTGAATATACCATGGACTGCTAGGAGAACAAACAGGTTCATCATAGAGAGGGTGAGACCAGGCTGCTCCTTGGAGGCAGGGATTCTGAAGCTTCATTTGATATACTTTGGACATGTTGCAAAGTGAGACCAGTCCTTGGAGAGGGTTGTCATGCTTGGGAAGGTGGAGGGACAGACAGTACAAGAGAGGAAGACCCTTGATGAGATCAATGGATTCAGTGACTCAGTGGGGGTAATGGGGATAGGTGTGTCAGAGACGGTGAGATTGGCATAGGATAGAGCAGGGTTTAGGGCTGTTGTACATAGGGTTGCAGGCGACAGCACATAATAATAGCAACAACCAGACTAGTAAATAACTGTAGGTGAGGAAATGCCCAGAGGATGCCTTGGAATGGCAGACTTCCCAGAGGCCCAGTGTGTCCATTTAGGCGGGCTCATTGATGGACTTCAGGATTACTGTTGGAACTGTAGAGAACAATACTGCGTTTACAATCCATTCTTTTAATAATTAGTAGCAGACTAGTTATCAAATGGTGGAAATGCCCCACATGTTCGATTCAGTGTACCAGTTTATGATTTCTGACATCAAGTGTTGAGCCTCCGTTCAGTTCCCCCACTCCTTGGGTTCTGTGGTTCACTAGAAGGTTTCATGGAAACGCAGACCCATCAGAGAAATGACTCCCGTGACTGTGGGTGATGCCACTGTTGCAGAGATTGATGAGCTAAATCAATGGCTAGGAAAGCCATTTTGAACAGTAAAGCACACTACAAATACATTGCCTCTTGGTGTTGAGCAGGGCTTTGCTGTTTCAGACTCTTGGACAGCTTGCACGATGCCTGTGCTTTTTAGGAGGGAGATTTATGTTTCTAGCAAAGTGTTGACCCATAATTTTCCAGTTCCAGTTAATCATTTTGGTGTAACTACCCTTGACAATTTCAGATCCATTCTATTTTCACTTGTCAGCTATGACTGAACTGGGAAGAACTGATTGGAAGCACTGATTTACCTACCGAGATTTTCCTGCATGATAGTAGGAAACACTTTGTGAAGCTGGACTCTGTGAAGAAAAACGTGACATCAGGATTGGAGGAAGACTAGTCCACAGCCTGCATTATGCAGATGACATAACTTTGCTTGGTGAAAGCGAAGAGGATATGAAATGCTTGTTGCAGAAGATCAAGGACTATCGTCTTTGGTATGGATTACATCTCATCAAGAAAACAAAAGCCCTCATTATAGGATTAACAGTCAACATTATGATAGCTGGAAAAAGGATTGAAACAAAATGATTTCATCTTCCTTGGATGAACAGTCAACCCCCTGGTACCAGCAGTCAGGAGACATACTGCATTAGGCAAGTGTGTAGTCAGGGACCTCTCCAGAATAATGTAGAGCAATTAATTATGTCACTCTGAAGACTAAGGTACATACGATTCAGGCCATGGTCATCTCAGTCCCCTGCTACACATCAAAGAGTTGGGCAGTGAATAAGGATAACAAGGAAAATTGATTCCTTTGAGTTGTGGTGCTGGAGAAGAGTACTGAATATCCAATGCACTGCCAAAGAACAAGTAGGTATGTACTGGAAAAAGTGCATCCAGAGTGCTGCTTGGAGGCAAAGATGGCGAAGCTTTGTCTTTCATACTTTGGACCTGTAGCTAGGTAAGGCTATTCCTTAGAAAGGGAGATCATGCTTAGAAAGGTGGAAGGTCACAAAAGAGACAACCCCCACTGAGATGGATTGACATGGTGACTTAGCTGTGGGCTGTAGTGTGTCAGGGATGATGAGGATGGCACAGGATAGGGCAGGATTGAGTTCGGCTGCTCATATCGTCCCTATGAATTGTTCTTGACCCAGACAGCACTTACCAACAATCTCTAACCTCATAAAACTTTAGATTTTCCTTTATGTAATGTTTTATTGTTGTTCCACTTCCTGAAACCCTCAACGAAACTGCAATACTTACCAAAGTGGACAAGAATTAACTGGGCATTCAAGATCCTCTGTTTGCACCTGCATTATTGTTCCAAGAAGTTTAGAAACTCCTTTAACTCCTTTGTCACTTTTTACTAGTTATTTTAAAGCCAGAAATGTGCATTAAAATGATGTATGGAACTTCTGAAACAATATAGACTGTTGTAATGACCATATTTTAAGTTTACTGGTTCCGTTTCCACCTTAATGCTGGTCTTAGCATTAGACAAAAGTAGTTTATTATCAATCTGTACTGTGTATTTTGCCAAGTGTGAGAACATACTGCAACTTTTTCTTTACTGAGAACTCCATCAATTAGTAACCTTTTTATATATCTGTGTTCTCTAATGCTAGTACAGTTCTTTGTACAAAGTTGAGCAATTGAATATAAACAGATTGAGAAAGCAAAAAGTGAAACATAGTTTCAGGGTAGTAACATTGAAGTTGTTAAAATGGGGCTGACAAAAGGTGGGATGTGGGGAAAATATGGTTATAAGAAGACTCAGAGTTAAACACATAACATTATTTAGAAAGCCAGGAAAGTGGGCAAATTGTTCTTGAAGGTGGTGTTTTTGGATTATTTCTGGTTCTGAGAGAGAAAACTGAGAGCTCTAAAGTTTTTAAAAAAACAGAACAACAAAACTACAAATGCTATTATTAGCATTTCAGTTTTCCTAATTTTTTTTGGTTTTTTCTCAGAAAAGAAATCTGGAGAAGTGGCTGTTCTGAAGAGAGATGGGCGGTATATATATTACTTGGTAAGTCAGGACCAGTTGTCAGTATGTTCTCAGGATTGGTGAACAGGTGGGCTGCCCTGTACTTGTGCTGATCTTGATGCCCCACTGTAGTAAACCAAGAATGCAGAAGCTTCCACTGTTCTGCCAGCTTAGATCCGGTGGTGGTGGCTCCCGGGAGCACTGTTTTCAGAAGGAATGTGAAGTTGCATTGTAGCTTCTGTGAGAAAGAGCGCCGTGTCTGCCACCCATTGTAGGCTTGTGCAGAATTTTGGTATGCCACCTCATTCTCTAAGCCAAACTTTCTCAGACGTGGGTAGGAAGAAGAATGTCTTGGGGGGGGGCGAGAAAAGAGACAGATTGGCCAAAGGAGGTTTTCTGTCATTCCCCACCACATGTCAAGTAATAGTACTTACTCAGTACTTACTCAGTTGTTCTCTGGTCCTCGACCTGAATGTAGGATTCTTTAATTGTCCAAATGGTTTTTGCCTCAGAAAACTTGTGTCCTCCTTAGAAGTGGGGTTGGGTGACTTACTAAACAGCGCACTACAAGCCTGATCTGATCAGCAGGAGGGAGATGTCCTTTATATTGCTGCATTTATGTCCTTCTACTGAGATAATTACCTAAAGTCAAAGATCAACAGTATCCCAAATGTTTGATCTGCTGTACCATCCTGTGATATCCGATGTCAGCTGTCCTCTTTGTCCCTTGGATTCTGTGGTTCACTAGAAGGTCTCACAGAAAAACCCATCAGAGAAATGACTCACATGACTGTGTGATGCAGGCCAGTGTTGCAGAGATTGGTGATCATTGGGACAGGATCCTTTTAACTGTTCAGTTGGAGAGCAGCTGGATGCTGTGACCAGGAGTGAGCATCCCAAAAGCAAGCAAGCATTGCACTTCTCTGACCTCTAATAGGGTGGGCTTGGATCTAGCCCTAATCTTACCTCCTTAATGCAGTAAAGACTCCATCACAAAATAAAAACTTAATCTGTGGCCAGGAGTGCCAATCTAAACACTAAAGCTTTGACACCACAACTGCCCTCAAGGCTGATGTTGTGACTTTAGTTTTTTTAAAGAAGATTTTCAGGTGGTACACATGCAGATACCTAGCTTTTCTTTTAGAAGTTGTATAGATGACGAGCTCTGGTGGCCTAGTGGCAAGAAGGTGTACTGCAATCCCAGAGGTGCACAGTTCAAATCCAGCAGATGCTCTGCTGGAGAAGGAGGAACAATCTCCTCCTGTACCAGTCAGATCTGATTTGACGGTACACACACACTAATAAAATAAAAAAAGAAGAAGAAGTTGTATAGAGAGCCTTATCTTTACTGCTTGGAAACAATAGAGAACAGGCACAGCCTACTAATCTCAGGCTTCTGAGGGAAAGGAAAGATTATTACAGGTCAGCATCTGAGTTTTTCAGCACTGGATAAGAACATTTTCCCAAGGGGCCATTAACACTGTGGGAGGGACTGTACGACATTTGTTATCTCTATTCTACGCTGTGAAAATTTGTTTTTGTTACCAGAGTGCTAAGGGAATGTAACGACTTTGTACTATCATTTTTCACTAGTGAAAATTGCAACCTTTTCTTTCTACTTAGATTACAAAGAAAAGGGCTTCACATAAACCAACATATGAAAACTTACAGAAGAGTTTGGAGGCTATGAAATCACATTGTCTAGAAGCCGGAGTCACCAGCCTCTCCATGCCAAGGCAAGGAAACCTAGGGCCCTAAGTGAATGTTTAACAGAGGGTGTGGGGGTGGGTATCATGTCTTATTTGAAAATGCCTCAGTGATTTCATGGTTTTAGTTAACCCAAAATGTGGACTCAACACTGGACAAATATCTAAACTTTGTAAAATCAGCAGAGAATCAGTTGTTTGACTACTGGCATATCTTCTGTCCAGTTTAGATTGAATGACTCAGAATAATAAACTTGAAACACATACCTTCCTTAGCCCAGGCTGTATGTTACTCAGTACCATGGATTGAATTCCAGGCATTCTATATCTGAAGCCCTTTGTTGTAAAGTGATGTCACCTAAAAAACCAAGACTGGGCAATTGTGATTTGGGTCCCTCTGGGTTTCCAGGGCTATTCATTCTATATGAATAAGGTTGTGAATTATTAGGACCTTTTTACAGTGTGTGCGTGTTTGTCAGTGTGAGAAGTAACTGGAGGATTTGTCCTTGAAGTGACTTCTTAAACTGGGTAACAGTTGGGAACTTGGAGGGCTGTCATTGGAAATCCTATAGGCTTTTTGCTTTCTTTTCAGGAAATAGGCTTATGGTCACCTCCTCTCTTTGTTTTGCCCTAATTGTTCTCAGTCATTGCAGAGCATGCATGCAAATCTACTCAGAGTCTCCAGTTACTTAGTAATGTAGCTATGTTGTCCATGGTGGTCGTACATGTAATCATGCCTTATGTATCAGAAACTTCACAGTTCTTTGGGGGCTTAATAGTTTTGTTCTGATATGAGTTGGCAGTTTTAAGCCTCTGTTCCGTCCTCCACCTTCCAGGAATGTTGAGGATCACAAAATTAATATCATGGGGCCAGAGCTGGGGATGTAAGAGTTCTGTGAACTGATTAAAGCTTCTCACCAGGATGTTGCAGCGACCTCACTCAAGGATTGCAATCAGCTTGGCATTTCCCACATTCTGTCTTGACTTTTGTCTTCCAGGGCTATGGTTTCTTGGCCTCCTCTTTTTCTTTTCATTAACATGCCATTATCATAAGTGGTGTTGTGTATGCGGAGTCAGAACTGACACACAGCTGGCCCCCGGTGGGTTTTCAGAGGCACTTAATCACACAAGAGGAAATTGCCGATCTTTCTCCTGTGGAGCAGTTGGTAGATTCAAACTGCCTGGCATGGTACAGCTTATCAGTAGAGCTCCCTCATTATCACAGGTAGAATTTTAAAATGCCATCCTTTTCTCTCATTCACAGCTGGTTTTCACCAGTAGTCATAGAGGGATGGTAAGTTTCCCATGTCATGGCAAGGATATACATGTTTAACTGTTGTGTACTATTGAGTGGTCCATAGCTGACCCTCCTGTGGCCTTTCAGAGGCAGTAAATCAGACAGGAGGAGTCTGCCCATCTTCCTCCTGAGCAGTAGCAGGTCGATGCAACCGTGTACCTTTAGGTTGACAGTGCCAACTCCTTCCCACCAGGCCACAGAGCTCCCTTGCTTAACTGTCTTATTCGTAATTGGGAAGTTGTATGTGATTAGGCAGAAGGGAAGTGATAACTGTTCAACACTCAGAACATGTAAGAAGAGCCTTGGATGATTTTGAAGAATTGGTTTTTAAATGCCCACCATGGCTTTCTATAGATGTAAGACCAGAAGTCATATGCTTTGGGTGGATACAGCCTAAAGGAAGAGGGAAGGAGCCATTTTCTAGAGAACTTCATCCTAACCAATGGAGGAATTTTATGTTTTTCAGGATTGGCTGTGGCCTTGATCGTCTGCAGTGGGAGAATGTATCCTCAATGATCGAGGAGGTATTTGAGGGGACAGACATCAAAATTACTGTGTACACACTCTGAACAGAGGAGCACTCTGGATGTGCCCACGTTCTGTCTCATCCTTCTTGGCCCATGGGACTAGGCAAGCTGACCTTAAAATGGGCAGAGGAACGAGCAAAGCCGTTTTTCTTATAAGCTGTTGCGACTCTTGAGGAGGGATTTTTTGAGCTATGTTGCTGTGTTGATTTTGCAGGAAGGTAGGGAGTTGGTGGCCTGAGTTAGACAGGGACTCCCAGAGTTGGGCCTTGAATCCCCACTTTTGCTCCAGTATGCGGCCTGGTTTGGCTGGCCACTAGGTGGCAGCATTAATTTGAATTCTCTGCTTCGAAGGAGAAATTTCAGGGAGGATGAAAACATTTCATAATTTGTTACCTGTTGTACACTCCCTTGATCCTTATGTCATGATATTCACCCAATGAGGGGATTTTTAATTATTTCTGTTAAGTTTTAGTTCTTCTATGTATTTTCTTTTAGTTCTGTTTTATTGGATTATTTACTTGGCTTTTGTTTTCATTATAAACTGGAATTCTGCTTTGTTAACAAAAGATTTGTGGTGAAAAAATTAAATATCTTTTTACTGGGGTCCTGTGTACCATCTTTGTTAAACTAGACTTGTGTGAAATATTAACCTGTATGCATAACTTAATTTCAAAGAACAGGACCAAGTGCGAAGAATAAAACAAATATGTTTGGACGAGAATGTGTCAACATACTGGACTAGAAGGTTTTTAGACTCCTGTGGGGAACTCTTGCACTCTTCTGCCCTCTGCCCGTTCTCTGTGGTCGAGTTTAATCATGAAACAAGTGAGGTAATGTGTGTTAGTTGCCTGGCAGCATACCTCTCCCAGAATAGTTCAGGGGTTCTAGAAAAAAATCCTGTGATTAAAGACCTCCCTTCTTCCTCCCAATACAATCTAATTTGTGGTGGTCCAAATTGCTATGTTTATTCTGATGTATAGCCAACTGACAGAAGAACAGTGATACAAGCTAGTCCTCTTTCCTTCCTCTCCTCAGAAACCCAGCTGTGGCCACTTCTGTTTCCACAGCAAGAGAATAAAGTTCATGGATTTAGCACCGTGGTTCTGTGGATCAGCTGCTGGAAAAGCTAGGAGGAGATTTTGTTGTTGTTCCATTTTTACTTCCCCTCTTCCCCCATAGTGGTGGTGAGAGTTAAAATAGCCAGACCTGTCACTGATTTTTCTCCCTGGAGTGAATTCCAAGCCTGTCACAGGGCTTGCTGCTTCCCAAGTGTAAAACAACGGGGTTGTCTTACTGGGCCTGTTGTAACACCAAGAGACCACTGGTTGAATAAAATCTTTGTACTTTAGACGTGTTTCTATCAGACTTCAGCCTGATAGGAGCCCTCAGTTTCAGAAAGTGTTTTTATGTCTTTTGTATCTCAGTGTGGACTAGACATTCACTGCTTCATGTTGTGGTAGTGGGGCCATGCAAGGGCTAGTTCATTGGCAAACTTGTGAAAAGCTTTGCTAATACCCACAGAGACAATAAAATTGAAGAGGAAATGGAGAATGTCCAGTAAAATAAAATTGAGAATGAGAGTGGGATTTGGAGAAGAAATTTAAAATTATTATGCCTAACTGGATCAAAATATGACTTACTACATTTTTTAATACTTTAAAAAGAATCAGGATTAGGGGTTTTTTTTGTGGAATATAAACTGTGATGGTTCTTTGAAGAAAATTCCCCCAGGATTGACTGAGGTGGAGCAGTGATGTGATAATATACTTTGTCATTTACAGATAGTCCTGGGGTCAAATTCCAAAGCCTTGCACACTTGAAGCCTGAGGAAAGGAGGCGTGGCCTGATAATCAGAATGAATAGATTATTCCTGGAAACCTAGTGGAGTTTGGCAAACATTCAGAAATGCGCATGTGTAAATTTGCTTCTACTTAAGGGTCAAATAAAGCTTTTTAAGAAATTATGGTATCCCTCTGCCATCATCATCAAGAGCCAAATATTGAATGATCTTTCATGACCCCAATATTTGATGTTTATCTGCTTCTCAGGAAATTACTTCTTCACATTTGGGACACATACTGTACAACAAACACAGTTTTCCTTGCCTTTTTCATCCTGTGCTGTATTTTTTAATGGCATAAAAGGGAAACTTGGAACTCAAACTCAAGGCCCCCCGGGTGACTCTCCAGTAGGTTTCCAAGGCTGTAAACCACATAGGAGACTGTCCCTCTTTTCCCCCAAGGAGCTGCTGGTGGATTCGAACTGGCAGAGAAGTGTGACCTTTGGGATAGCAGTTCAACTGAGCCACCAGAGACAAGGCCCTCGTTTATAATCATCTCAGAAGAACAGTATTCTGTGAAGGTCATGACCACGGTGGGAAGCCTACTTGGGAGAGCCGGGCTCTAGTGTTGCTGAGAGCAAATCCTGGTTTATTTGGTGATAACCCAACCACCTGACCATCCATGGTAATTTCCAGATAATTACATTTGCTTAGAAAACATGGCCACGGAAAACATACCACTTCAGTTCTTTTATTAATGCTGCTCCCCCAGCCCCCTTTCTTAAAAAAAACAAACAAACCAACAACCCAAACAAACCCCAAAAATCTATTCCTGGAAGTATTTCAAAGATCTGCACCTGGGGTGTGAGGCTCTGAGTTAAGCAGCCTCGTGAGTAATTATCGTCTGTATCCCCATGCTGCCTGCTGCCCGTGGACGGCTGCATTTCTCCCCTTGTAGCTCACCTTCCTCTATCCCAAGAGCAGCCTTACAGAAAGCAGCACAGACTAATTACAGCATGAGAAGTGTACTCTTGAGTCCCCTGATGGTCTTGTCCATTTGGATTGCATAGCGTTGAATGTCATCTGGCTCCAAGTGGTATTAGGAAGGTAGATATGTCGCAGATGGTCATATATGTCACTGCTGTCTCTGATGACAGTGGGCAGACCTTAGTGGGAAAACAGCAAGCATGTTAGCCTCAGTTACTAGTTTATTACAAAGTCTGTACTGGCCCCCACCAAGTCCTTGAATGTTAACTCCATTTCCCCTGTGCTTTCTTGTTTATACAAGATTAGATCCGTTACATTCTTTCATGTTTTGATTTAGGTCACAAAGAGAAGCCATGAAAGAGACTGGCTTTACCTGTTTTCTTACGTATTGGGTTAAATTCTGTCATATTTGTGAAAAGAAACAGAACAAGGAGTATAAAGCACATTTTATTTAACAAATACTAATTTCTTGTCAATATTTTCCCCGGGTAGAGTTGTTCTCTGGGGCTTTCAGGTTACAAATCTTTTGTACCAGGTTTTGTTATGCTTTAAAACATGCTACATTTTAAATTTTTTACCTTTGGAAATAGGACCAACTCAAGTGGAGGACATGCTAATGCTTTCAGATATACACTAATGGAAGGTTTATAATGTGGAAAACATCCTATAATATTATGTAAAAATGGAATATCCCCTAAAAGTGCCCCCCCCCATTTACTTCTGTTTGGATTAGTATAAATTAGGTAAGACTCAATTACCCAAACTGGAAGGATATTTTTAATCTCCTTGTTCAAATGCTCCATTTTTATAGTGGTTTTAGCTACCCAATTACTTGGCCTAATGGTAAAAACAAAACAAAAAAATCCTGGAGGATTTGTTAGTTGAGCGGTTGGAAGAAGTGGCTCATGACTCTAAAAGATGCTCAAGAAGAAAATATCCCAGTACCTGTTCCCTTTGAGTGGATTCTGATGGATGGCAGCCCTGCAGAACGGATTAGAACAACCCCATGTGGATTCCAGGGCTACAAATCTATATGGAAGCACCCTGCCACATCTTTCTCTGATAGAGTGGCTGGTGAGTTCTGACAGCTGGCTGCTGGTTAGCTGCCAATCAATTAGCCCTGACCTACCAGGGCTCTTAACAGAGTTCAGATCTATCACTCGTTATGAGTTGTAGTCGACTTGATGGCACCTAACAACAAGAACACATCACAGACCTTGAACTCAATCCGGTTGGGATGTAGCTGACTCATAACTGACAAACCAGGCAGTTTTCAGAGGCTGTGAAGTGCATGAGAGGACACTGCCCTTTTTTTTTTTTTTTCGTGTCCCTGGTGAATTTGAAATGCCAAAGAGGTGATGTCTTCAGGGGAAGCAACACAAATCCCTGTGGACTACTTCATCAGAGCTCTCGAAAATCTGTTGTTAATGTGCCGTTGTCTGTGATTCAGTGACCCTATGTTCAACAGCCCTAAACCCTGCTTTATCCCTTGCCAATCTTACTGTCTCTGACACTCCTATCCCCATTACCCCAATGACTGAATCAATCCATCTCATCGAGAGTCTTCCACTCTCCTAAGCATGACATCCCTCTCCAAGGACTGATCCTGCCTTGCAACAAACATGTCCAAAGTATGTCAGATGATACTTCAGAATTCTTGCCTCCAAGGAGGAGCCTGGCTTCACCCTCTCCAGGATGAACTAGTTTGTTCTCCTAGCAGTCCATGGTATATTCAATACTCTTCTCCACCATCAAAGTTCAAAGGCATCAACTCTCCTATCATCCCTAGTCATTGTCCAGCTCTCTGGTGCATAGCAACTAATTAAAAAGACCATGGCCTGGATCAGATGCACCTTAGTCTCTAGACTGACATCGTTGCTCTTCTGTGCTTTGGAGAGGTCTCTGACAACAGACTTTCTCAATGCAATTCGTCTTTTAGTTTCCTGGTTGCTGGTACCAAGAGTATTGACTGTGGAGCCAAGCAAACAAGCTATCAACAATCTCAGTCTCTTCATCATCCATCATGATGCTGCCAGTCGACCCAGTGGTGAGAATCTTTGTTTTCTTGATGTTGAGCTTCAATCCATATTGAAGGCTGCAGTCCTTCACCTTCTGCAGCAAGTACTTCAGGTCCTCCTCAGTTTCAGCAAGCAGGGTTGTCATCTTCATAATGCAGATTGTTGATAAGTCTACCTCCATTTCTGATGCCACACTTCTCCTCATAGATAATCTATTCCGCATACAGATTGAAAAGGTACGGAGACAGGACATATCCCTGGCGTACACGATTCCCAATTTTGAACCAAGCAGTGTTTCCTTTCTCTGTTCTGACAAGTGCTTCTTGGTCCAGGTATAGGTTTTGCTGAAGTACAATCAAATGTTCTGGGATTCCCATTCTTCTCAGAGTCAGCCACAGTTTGTTGTTATCCGCACAGTCATATGCCTTTGCACAGTCAATAAAACATAGACATTCCTCTGGTGTTCCCTGCTTTCAGCCAAGATCCATTTAACATTAGCTACAATACCCCTAGTGCCATGGCCTCTTCTAAATCCAGGCTGCACTTCAGGCAGTTCTCTGTTGATGTGTTGTTCCAGTCGTTTTTGGATAATCTTCAGCAGAATCTTGCTTGCATGTGATATCAATGATACTGTTCCAAAATTTCCACACTCTGTTGGATCACCTTTCTTTGGAATTAGAACAAATATAGATCTCTTCCAGTCAGTAGGCCAGGTAGTTGGGCTTCAAATTTCTTGGCACAACTGTGTAGTGCTAAATACAATGATGGTGGTTGTTATGTGCCATTGAGTTGCCCATAACTCATAGCAACCCTATGTACAACAGCCTGAAGCCTGCCCTGTCCTGAGCCAGTCACACTGACTCTGACACACATTCCTCCATTACCTCAGTTACTGTATCAATTCATCTCATCTAGGGTTTCCCTCTCTTGAGCTGTCCCCCTCCCCCACCCTTCCTAGCATGATATCCTTTTCCAAGGACTGGTCTCTCCTGGCCATGTGCCTAAAGCATGTGACACAGAGTTTCAAAATCCTAGCCTCCAAGGAGAAACAAACCAAGCCAGACCAGTTTGTTTTCTTGGTGGCCCATGGTATGTTCAAGACTCTTCTTCAGCACCACAACTCAAAGACATCAATTCTTCTTCTGTCAACCTTAGTCATTGTCCAGATGGCAAATATACTAAAAAAATCTTCAAGGTTTGTGTTGTGTTTTATTTTTTTTTTGTTTATTATTCTAAGTTTTCTGTTTTCTGAGGTTGCCCTACCTGGCAATCTTTACTCCTATTCATCATCCTTCAGAGTGGTGTTTTGTGTGTACAGGGGACCGCATAGCTTTACCCTCCCATAGTCTCACTGATTCTATGAATGGGTCTTACTTTAAGAAGAAGTGACTGAATCCACCAGATGCTTTGCTGGAGAAGGAGGAACAGTCTCCTCCTGTACCAGTCAAATAAAATAAAAATAAAATTAAAAAAAAAAAAGTGAAGATCGTGGCTTGGTGGCTTGGCAGATGCTCAGCCTGAGAATCATCAGACGCTGTGTCTAATAGCAAACACCTGCAGACATGAAAATCCGGAACAGCAATGTTTTCAAAAGCTGTCTCTGAAGCAGCACCCTCTCAAGGGTATTAGGAGTAAGAGACATCAAACATAAATTGAACATCTTCATGGCTGCATGTTGGCTTCATGCTTTGTTAATATGTGAGTTGTTACAGAATTGAAGTTGGACTTTAAGAGGATGGTATATCATTGGAGGATCTTGATCAATAACTTGGGCTTTGCAAGGAGTCTTAGTCATACCATTTCTGCAGGAGCAAACTAGTACAGACCAAATTTTAAAAAAAAGAAAGAAAAAAAGCAAAGGATTCTTTACCCTCTTTCCTGAGGGTTATCGGCCTGTTTATCTAAGAGTCCAATTTACCCTCAGCAAGAGGCCAAATTGGCCTTAATTGTGTCCTAATTATTTGCTTAAATAGCTAATCTTTACTTCCAGTTCTCTTTTCACCTCTTGATATCTGTAGGTGGCTACTTCTGAGCTCCTGCCTAATTTACAAACATCTCTTTAGCCCTTTAAAGACTCCTGCATAGAATAGTGTATTTCTGTACAATTCCCCTTCTTCCATTCATTTTCCTTTAAGAGTTCTGCTGTGCATTTTTTCACACAACAAAAATGTTCTTGAATGTTACAGTCACACTGCAATTACTGGTCTACCTCAATGCATAATCGAAAATATGAAAGTCTCTCTGGTGGGTGGGTGGGTGGGTAGGGAGTTGAATACCATGTGGGGAATTGCCAAATTAGAAAAAAAAATTGTTTTGGGGGAATGAAAAAAAAAATCAGACAAAAATGAAATGGTAAGATTGCGTATAGGGGTGGGAGCAAGGAATCAAAAAGGTTTACTGTGTGAGTCTGAACATGTATGTGACATGCATATGGGGTTTTCATAAGGCCATAAACTGGCATATTGTCTGGGAGAATGGTCAGTTGTCTCCCTCAGAGCAGCTGGTGGATTCAAACTGCCTTTGGGCTGGCGGCACAGCTTCTTACCACCAGGCCGCCAGAAGTCCCCATACAGCATGCAAAGGGAACTGATATCCTTCTCTGCTGTTGTTGATTGGATCTTTACACTACAAGCAGCCCCGGTAGCAGAATGGTGAATTGCTCAGCTGTCAATCAAGATGTCAGCAGTTCGAACCCACCAGGAGAAAGCTGTGGCATCCTGTCTCTGTAGAGATTAGTCTTGGAAACCCGAAGTGGAGTTGTGTTTGCTCCTGTAGAGTTGCTATGATTGGGATGGGGTCCATGTCACAGCAATCTTAACTACAGTAAGAAAGGGGTCTAGCATTTCATCAAAGCTTTAGGATCCTTGTCAACCTCGAGCAGCCTGGTTACAGGGAAACTTAGTGTGATGGAAAGATGCAGGTAAAAGGTTTAGGGAAGTGTCTGGAGGAACAATACTAGTTAATAAAAGGACCAAGCCAGGGTAGGGGGCAAACTCACATGAGGCGGAGCCCAGCGGCCTACTTCAGGATGTCTGCCAACTTCTCCTCGTAGTACAGGAAGTTCTCCTGAATGTCCTCCCAGGGCTGAAAGGCCTTGGATTCGCCCTCTTCCTGCTCCACGAAATTCTGCCAGACATACTCGAAGTCCTGGGGCTTCATAATACGCAGCCTGCAGCCAGCCTCCTTCAGCTTCTTCAGAGCAGCCTGGATCTCCGGCTCCTCCCACATGAAGATCCTCCCCACCAGGATGAGCAGGCGCAGGTTCTTGGTCTTGCTCAGGGTTTTGATGATGCGGTCAGCGCAGGCCACGCAGGGGCTGGAGGACACGTACCAGGTGACGTTGTACCGCAGGGCCGGGTCGAAGGCCGGCAGGATGGTGTTGAAGAAGGCTTCCTCGGCATGGGCAGTGGCATGCTCGTCTTCCAGGTAGCCCCGGGAGGCCTTCACTTGGCCACCCTTGTCCTGCACCTCCACCACATAGCAGAGGAATGTCTTGTTCCGCCCAGAGCTGTACTCCACATTGCGGAACTGGAACTTAAAATAGTTAACAGGCAGCCGCTCTCTGAAAGTTAAGGGAAGAGAGGGAAAGGGAAGGAAGGAGAATGATGAACTTGTCTCCAGGACCAGCCTGGAGCAGACAGTTCTAAGACCAGAACCTTAGAAACACAGTCACTCTTAACAAATACAGGCCTTCCCAACACAAGCATACCAATAGCAAAAAGGCTTGGAGGAATCCAAAAAGGTGTATGTAGAGAGGAGGGGATTTGTATTGGAGGCTGTATTCTGGTCTATAAAAATCCCTCTGCCATCACTCACAAAAGACAACATACTTCTTTAAGTCAGTGAATCTTTAATAACCTGTCTGTTCATTAAAATCACCTAAACCAAACCCACCACCATGGAACCTATCCGTACTCCTGGCCCCTCCATTAAGTTGCTCAGCCTGTAAATCTTTGTGGGAGAAGACTGCCCATTTTTCTCCCAGGGAGTGGCTGGTGGTTTTGAACTGCCAACCTTGCGGTTATGTGGTACATTATATGCCACCAAAGTGCCTTCTAAAACCACCTAGATGATTCTAAAAGGAGCTTTGGTGATACAGTGTACAACATATTGCCTGCCAACTGAAAGGTTGTTGTTGTTATGTGCCGTCGAGTCGTTTGCGACTCGTAGTGACCCTATGTACAACGGCCCTAAACCCCTGTGCCAATCGCATTGCCTCTGACACATCCATCCCGATTACCCCAGTCACTGAATCAATCCACCTCATAGAGGGTCTTCCCCTCCTGTGCTGTCCCTCTACTCTACCCAGCATGATGTCCCTCTCCAAAGATCTGTCTCTCCTGCAGTTCTAATCTACTAGCCACGCTTGGGGAGAAAGACGGGTGATCTCCTCCTGTAAAGACTGGCAGCACTGAAAACCTGACTCCATGGTAGCGAGATTTTAGAAAACTTTTTAAAAGCTAATTTCTTGAATCTCTCATCAAGTCAATTAAATCAGATTATCTGGAAAGGGGGTGTAGGCATCAGTATTTTTTAAAAGCTCCTCAGATGATTCTTATAGGTAGTCAGCTTTGAAAAGCAGTGTTCCAAGAGCAATTTTACAAAGTAGCAAGTATATATGATTTCTCAAGGCTGTACAAGGCAAAGATTTTTGCAGATCATTTCAAGCTTTCATTTCTTTCCTCGTAATTCAGGTAGGTTGCTCCTTGGGAAACGGAAGGCCCAAGAATTGAAGGACTATGCTCTCCTTGTTGTGTGCCATCAAGTTGGAGCTGACCCAGAGCTGACCCTACAGCCGGTCATCAGTAAATCATACAGGAGGAGACTGCACATCCTTCTTCTACAGTGTAGCTGGAGGATTTGAACCGTGTGCCTTTGGGACTGCAGTGCAGCCTCTTACCAGTAGGCAACCAGAGCTCTCTGGTGACCATTTATTATGAGTGGCATCCACTTGCTAAACAACATGCCTCTGGAAACTTTTTGATAAATGACAATAGTTATAGAAAGTTACAGAAAGGCTTCAGGCCTTTTGCTCATAGGGTCGCTATGACTCGACAACGATCAACAACAACAATCTTTTCTTTCAGATGGAAGACCGATTGCCACATCCTAAATGTTCAAGAATCGTTATTTGTGAGACCACGTAGAGTACCTTGGTACAGCTTAGTTTGTGTCTGATATTGAGTTAATTCAAAATATTAGCAAATTTGGCCTCATCAGATGCTTAGAATCAAGCCACTAGCTTCTAGCTGGACATAGAAGATGTAAATGAAACAACTGAGAACATCAGGATTACTAAAATCAAAATGATTAGAATGGAGACTCTATTATGAAATTTCTCGAGTATTTAACCTTGATTCAGGAAGCCATGGAGAATAACTGCAGGTTCTTGAGTAGAAGAAAGTCAGAGCAAGAGGAATGACCAAGGAAGATAGTGTTGCAGCAAGACGATGGAATGAAGGTAGGAAAAAGCCACAAATTTTAGTTTAGACCCCATAAGAGGTCTTTGGAAATGTAGGCTTGGGGATGAATAGTGTAGGTTTCCAGCAACTTTGAGGGGGAACTAAATAACTAGGAAATGAAAGCCCAGGACATTTTTAATTTTAAAAAAAGTTTTGTTGTACTATAATTGTTGCATGCTGCCTTTGAATCAGTCACAGCACAGCCAAACAAAACGCTGACCATTCTGCACCAGGCCTATGATCAGACGTGGGCTGAACTGTTGTATTCTATTGGCTGATTTTGAGAAGTAGATAGACCGTTCCTCCCAGTCCGTGTTCATCTGGAAGCTGAATTAAAACCTGTCTAGCATCATAGCAACGTGCAGGCCTCTACAGACGGTGCCTGCACACAAGGTCCATTGGCCAGGAGTCAAACCTGGGTCTTTTAAATGGAAGGGGAGACTTTTACTAGTGAACCAGCAAAGCCTAGTCAGTAGCACTATGAAGAGAAAAGGGGGAGCTCAGGTGGCTTAGTGGTAAGGAACTGTGCTGCTAACCCAGAGGAATGTGCTTCGAATCCACCAGCTGCTCCACGGAAGAAAGATGGGCAGTCTCTTCCTGTGTGAATTACTGCCTCTGAAAACCCACTAAAGGTCAGCTATTGGTCAGTTCTGACTCAGTGGTACTCAACAACAACAGCAATGGTGACAGGAAAAAGAAGAAATTCTTGAGAAGGCAATATAGTCAGGGTTTATTTTTATGTGTATTGTGTATTTTTCTGAAACAGGAAAGATTTGTTTGGAAGTTGAGGAGAATGAAGAGGTTTTAGTATGTTGTTGTTGTTATGTGCCGTCAAGTCATCTGCGACTCATAGCAACCCTATGTACAACAGCCCTAAACCCTGCTCTGTCCTGTGTCAATTTCACTGTCTCTGACACCCCAACCCCCATTACCCAGTCACTGAATCAATCCATCTCATTGAGGGTCTTCCTCTCCTGTGCTGTTCCTCTACCCTCCCAAGTATGATGTCTCTCTCCAAGGACCAGTCCCTCCTTGCAACATGTCCAAATTATGTCAGACGAAGCTTCAGAATCCTTGCCTCCAAGGAGCATTCTGGCTTTACCTTCTCCAGGACAAACCTGTTTGTTTTCCTAGCAGTCCATGGAATATTCAATACTCTTCTCCAACACCACAGCTCAAAGGCATCAATTCTCCTTTTATCATCCCTAGTCATTGTCCAGCTCTCCAATGCGTAACAAGACCCTGACATGTATCAGGTAGACCTTAGTCTCCAGACTGACATCTTTGTCAGCACTTTAGAGAAAGATTAGAAATATCAGGAGAGGGCAGGGTGAGTATGAACTAGAAAATGTAATCTCCCTGGCTGCCCCAGAAGACCCACTGTGGCACCACTTACTATTTGTCCCTCCCCTGCTTAGCCCCTGGTGAGGTCATCCAGATCCTTGGCCTACACGGGAATCCCTGCTATCCCATGGTCTCGGCTTCGTGGGGATAAGCAGTAGGTGCCAAAGAGCTGAGGACACTTTAGTTCTTTCCATGCCGGGTGTTCCCAACACCTACCAAGGCCAAATTTCTTTCCCCCAAGTTTCCATGCCCCTTGCTGTCAAGTTTCCACTGTGGAGATGGATATGTTTGGAGACCCAGCCCCAGGATTCCTTTGCCTACTATTCTTAGCTCTCTAAGCCCCTGTGTCCCTAATCTAGAGGTGTTTATTATTTATTTAACATTTTCAGAGGATAAAGAGCTGGTGGGTCCCCTCTCCTCCTTTAAACCTTGCTGGAAATTCCCTTGTACTGAGCTTTCTGTCATTAAACTCATCTCACCAGACCATTCCTGAATGGCACAGCTTGCTAAGAGTTCTCCTTCCCTTCCCGAAGTAGTTGTTGAACTGAATTATATAGCTGACCCTCCAGTGGGTTTTTGGAGGCACGGAAAGAGACTGCCCATCTTTCTTCCATGGAGCAGCAAGTGGATTTGAACCACGTGCCTTTGGGATTGCAGCTCAGCTTCTTGCCACTAGGCTACCAGCTGATCACTGAAGTGGGGACTGGAGGAAATGCTCTTGAGAGGCATAGGCCTTATTTAAATTTTCTTCCCCAAACCTTTCTTTGCTCTTCATGTCTTTCTAGAACATCCTCCACCTCAAGGACAGTCTGGAGCCATCTATATGAAGAATTCTCAGATGAGACTCTCCAATGACTACTTGGTTGATCTTAGAGCCCTAGCAGTAGCCGCCTGTGTGATCCCTCAGATTTCCTTCTAGAACCTCCCCACCCCCCAAAAAAGATTTAAGGTATTAAGGTACTGCTCTAGCTTTGCTAGGTACAAACCATCAGAGAGTGTGATTTGGGCCCAGTATGAAATTTCACATTAGTGGTTGGTGTGAGAGAGCTGCTTTTCTCAGCCCTACTTAAGCTCTGACATTTCTCCCTTCTCCTCTTCCCTAGACAAGAAGAGAGGACCTAGAGAAACTTGAAACCCCTGGGAGAGTAAGAAAGGTCACTGTCCTATAAATATCCCATGTCCTACCCCTCTGGCCAGCAGCTCCATAGCCTATTCTGTCACTCAGCGTGGAACTAGGTGCTGCAGGAAGAGGAATGCATTCAAGGGGCAAAGGAATGGCTGGGTGAGGGGCGGATTTGGTTCCTAGAGCTTCCTGTGGGTTTGCACAGCCTTGCTTGACTTTTCAATGAGTTTTTTTGGTCAAAAGTAACATCCAGATCAAATGAGGATCTTTGAGATCCCACAGACAGAAACAGCCAGATCCAGAAGGTGGGGACCCCAGAAGGACAGAGCTGGTGGAGGAGCCAGGATGTCTGAAATTCCTCCAGGGATTTCGACAATAGTCATTTCGGTGATTTTATAGAAGCACAAAGTAATAGCGTAAATAATGGTATGCTTCCTGGCAGAGGAAGAAGATAGCAAAGAAGAAGTGATGCCTTTGAATTGTGATGTTGGAGAAGAGTACTGACTATCCCATGGACGGCCAACAGAACAAACAAATCTGTCCTAGAGGAAATGCAACCAGAGTGCTCCTTAGAGGCGAGGATGGCAAAGCTTTGTCTCACATACTTTGGGCGTGTTGTTAGGAGAGGCAATT